GCAGCAGCAGAAGGCTGCAGATGCGAAGACAGCGTATGGGGTCGATGCGAAGGCTGGACCTGTTGCGTCGTCGAAGGCGGGTGCTGGGCCTTTGTTGCTTGCGAAGAAGTCGATGGGCGTGTTGCCTAAGAAGGCAGCGGAAGGTGGCGCGAAGGCGGCGGCTGAAGCGGGTTTGAAGGCAGGGGAGGGCGAGTCAGAGGCGAAGGCAGCAGAAGGCGGCGATGCGAAGAGCGTGTCTGGGGTCGATGCGAAGGCTGGACCTGTTGCGTCGTCGAAGGCGGGTGCTGGGCCTTTGTTGCTTGCGAAGAAGTCGATGGGCGTGTTGCCTAAGAAGGCAGCGGAAGCTGGCGCGAAGGCGGCGGCTGAAGCGGGTTTGAAGGCAGGGGAGGTCGAGTCAGAGGCGAAGGCAGCAGAAGGCGGCGATGCGAAGGCTGGACCCGTTGCATCGTCGAAGGCAGGGCCTGGGCCTGCGTTGCTTGCGAAGAAGTCGATAAGTTTGTTGCCTAAGAAGGCAGCGGAACCTGGCGCGAAGGCGGCGGCTGAAGCGGGTTTGAAGGCAGGGGAGGTCGAGTCAGAGGCGAAGGCAGCAGAAGGCGGCGATGCGAAGGCTGGACCTGTTGCATCGTCGAAGGCAGGGCCTGGGCCTGCGTTGCTTGCGAAGAAGTCGATAGGTTTGTTGCCTAAGAAGGCAGCGGAAGGTGGCGCGAAGGCGGCGGCTGAAGCGGGTTTGAAGGCAGGGGAGGGCGAGTCAGAGGCGAAGGCAGCAGAAGGCGCCGATGCGAAGGCTGGACCTGTTGCGTCGTCGAAGGCGGGTGCTGGGCCTTTGTTGCTTGCGAAGAAGTCGATGGGCGTGTTGCCTAAGAAGGCAGCGGAAGGTGGCGCGAAGGCGGCGGCTGAAGCGGGTTTGAAGGCAGGGGAGGGCGAGTCAGAGGCGAAGGCAGCAGAAGGCAGCGATGCGAAGAGCGTGTCTGGGGTCGATGCGAAGGCTGGACCTGTTGCGTCGTCGAAGGCGGGTGCTGGGCCTTTGTTGCTTGCGAAGAAGTCGATGGGCGTGTTGCCTAAGAAGGCAGCGGAAGCTGGCGCGAAGGCGGCGGCTGAAGCGGGTTTGAAGGCAGGGGAGGGCGAGTCAGAGGCGAAGGCAGCAGAAGGCGCCGATGCGAAGAGCGTGTCTGGGGTCGATGCGAAGGCTGGACCTGTTGCGTCGTCGAAGGCGGGTGCTGGGCCTGCGTTGCTTGCGAAGAAGTCGATGGGCGTGTTGCCTAAGAAGGCAGCGGAAGCTGGCGCGAAGGCGGCGGCTGAAGCGGGTTTGAAGGCAGGGGAGGTCGAGTCAGAGGCGAAGGCAGCAGAAGGCGCCGATGCGAAGGCTGGACCTGTTGCATCGTCGAAGGCGGGTGCTGGGCCTGCGTTGCTTGCGAAGAAGTCGATGGGCGTGTTGCCTAAGAAGGCAGCGGAACCTGGCGCGAAGGCGGCGGCTGAAGCGGGTTTGAAGGCAGGGGAGGGCGAGTCAGAGGCGAAGGCAGCAGAAGGCGGCGATGCGAAGAGCGTGTCTGGGGTCGATGCGAAGGCTGGACCTGTTGCGTCGTCGAAGGCGGGTGCTGGGCCTGCGTTGCTTGCGAAGAAGTCGATGGGTGTGTTGCCTAAGAAGGCAGCGGAAGCTGGCGCGAAGGCGGCGGCTGAAGCGGTTTTGAAGGCAGGGGAGGGCGAGTCAGAGGCGAAGGCAGCAGAAGGCGGCGATGCGAAGAGCGTGTCTGGGGTCGATGCGAAGGCTGGACCTGTTGCGTCGTCGAAGGCGGGTGCTGGGCCTGCGTTGCTTGCGAAGAAGTCGGTGGGCGTGCTGCCTAAGAAGGCAGCGGAAGCTGGCGCGAAGGCGGCGGCTGAAGCGGCTTTGAAGGCAGGGGAGGGCGAGTCAGAGGCGAAGGCAGCAGAAGGCGGCGATGCGAAGAGCGTGTCTGGGGTCGATGCGAAGGCTGGACCTGTTGCGTCGTCGAAGGCGGGTGCTGGGCCTGCATTGCTTGCGAAGAAGTCGATGGGCGTGTTGCCTAAGAAGGCAGCGGAACCTGGCGCGAAGGCGGCGGCTGAAGCGGGTTTGAAGGCAGGGGAGGGCGAGTCAGAGGCGAAGGCAGCAGAAGGCGGCGATGCGAAGGCTGGACCTGTTGCGTCGTCGAAGGCGGGTGCTGGGCCTGCGTTGCTTGCGAAGAAGTCGATGGGCGTGTTGCCTAAGAAGGCAGCGGAACCTGGCGCGAAGGCGGCGGCTGAAGCGGGTTTGAAGGCAGGGGAGGGCGAGTCAGAGGCGAAGGCAGCAGAAGGCGGCGATGCGAAGAGCGTGTCTGGAGTCGATGCGAAGGCTGGACCTGTTGCGTCGTCGAAGGCGGGTGCTGGGCCTGCGTTGCTTGCGAAGAAGTCGATGGGCGTGTTGCCTAAGAAGGCAGCGGAAGCTGGCGCGAAGGCGGCGGCTGAAGCGGGTTTGAAGGCAGGGGAGGGCGAGTCAGAGGCGAAGGCAGCAGAAGGCGGCGATGCGAAGAGCGTGTCTGGGGTCGATGCGAAGGCTGGACCTGTTGCGTCGTCGAAGGCGGGTGCTGGGCCTGCGTTGCTTGCGAAGAAGTCGATGGGCGTGTTGCTTAAGAAGGCAGCGGAACCTGGCGTGAAGGCGACGGCTGAAGCGGGTTTGAAGGCAGGGGAGGTCGAGTCAGAGGCGAAGGCAGCAGAAGGCGCCGATGCGAAGGCTGGACCTGTTGCATCGTCGAAGGCAGGGCCTGGGCCTGCGTTGCTTGCGAAGAAGTCGATAGGTTTGTTGCCTAAGAAGGCAGCGGAAGGTGGCGCGAAGGCGGCGGCTGAAGCGAGTTTGAAGGCAGGGGAGGGCGAGTCAGAGGCGAAGGCAGCAGAAGGCGCCGATGCGAAGGCTGGACCTGTTGCATCGTCGATGGCGGGTGCTGGGCCTGCGTTGCTTGCGAAGAAGTCGATAGGTTTGTTGCCTAAGAAGGCAGCGGAAGGTGGCGCGAAGGCGGCGGCTGAAGCGGGTTTGAAGGCAGGGGAGGGCGAGTCAGAGGCGAAGGCAGCAGGAAGCGGCGATGCGAAGAGCGTGTCTGGGGTCGATGCGAAGGCTGGACCTGTTGCGTCGTCGAAGGCGGGTGCTGGGCCTGCGTTGCTTGCGAAGAAGTCGATGGGCGTGTTGCCTAAGAAGGCAGCGGAACCTGGCGCGAAGGCGGCGGCTGAAGCGGGTTTGAAGGCAGGGGAGGGCGAGTCAGAGGCGAAGGCAGCAGAAGGCGGCGATGCGAAGAGCGTGTCTGGGGTCGATGCGAAGGCTGGACCTGTTGCGTCGTCGAAGGCGGGTGCTGGGCCTGCGTTGCTTGCGAAGAAGGCGGTGGGCGTGCTGCCTAAGAAGGCAGCGGAAGCTGGCGCGAAGGCGGCGGCTGAAGCGGGTTTGAAGGCAGGGGAGGGCGAGTCAGAGGCGAAGGCAGCAGAAGGCGGCGATGCGAAGAGCGTGTCTGGGGTCGATGCGAAGGCTGGACCTGTTGCGTCGTCGAAGGCGGGTGCTGGGCCTGCGTTGCTTGCGAAGAAGTCGATGGGCGTGTTGCCTAAGAAGGCAGCGGAAGCTGGCGCGAAGGCGGCGGCTGAAGCGGGTTTGAAGGCA